AAAGTGAAACTCGAATGTGGAAATATAAAATCGATAAGTTGACTATTACATTGAAGGCAACCAAGTGCAGCTTGCACATATTTCAAAAATAGTGACCAGTACAAAAATTCCCCTCGGTAATTAATTATTTCCTGTGGCACATGAACACCTGATACAAATTATTTTTGTTTATTTTATAAAAATGTACCATCTTTTTCTACAAAAAATGTTTTTTTTTCTTTTTCTCATTTTAACGTCAATACAAAAAAAAATATCAGCTTAATTCGAAAGAAAAAACCTTGGATCAAGAAAATTATTTCGAAGAATTGTTTAAATTAAGTAGAAATTTTTCTTGATTAGGGTAAATCTCACTTTATTCAAGAATTTTTCTGCTTGACTCGAGACGAAAGAAATTTTCAAATAATTTTTTTGGTTCAAATTTTTTTCTTGAGTTGAATTAATTTTTATACCAGTATATTTGTAAGTTTTTATACATTTCATGATTTATGAAATCGGACGAAAACGTGTAATGCATTACGAGAATTCAAGCTACATCTCATGAAAAAAATCACAAGTTCAAAAAAGATAAGACTCTCGATAAAAGTTTTTAAAAGAAAATGGTAATCTTCCCAAAATCATAAATATTTTGGAGGATGTATGTAGTGTTATTCCTACAACTCAGTGAAACTTCACCCCTCAAAGCTGGAATTTCCGTTGGCGACCAGATCCACATCAACCTTTATAACTAGCTTAGGGTAGAACACAGGAGCACTGGTTTTGGACACTACCATTTGTTAATATTTTCTGCTCTATTATGTGGGAGACTTAAATATTATTTTTATTTTACAGTATTTTTGTTTTTATCTGACCAGTTGATTGTTTTTATATAATTATTTCAATTGTAAATTTACTATATTTACAATTATTATTGGCTGTCTGGCCTAGACCACTTGCAAATTGCACTAATATTTATAATAATTTTTTTGCCGGAACCTTCCGCGCATAAACAATTATTTTTTTATTCGTAGAATTTGTCATTAGAGATAATTTCAACTGAAAACATCATACGATATTCAGAAATGAGTCTGTCATTAAGAGGTAACTGAAAGGTAGTTCTGGGCAGTGTCTCGGATAGCTCTCCTGTGTTTCTAGGATACTGGAGATGGATGCTGGTATGTTGAATTGATCTCTTGTTAGTGTGAGGTGTCTGCATTCCTCTAGGATGTGGAGCACAGTTAGATTATATCCACATAATGGGTATTTTTTTTGTTCTTCTTTGGTTATATGATGGATATGTGAGGCATTAATGTGTCCGGTCCTGAGTCGAGTGATTATGCATTGGTCTCTTCTATTTGACGGAATCAGTGGTCTTGGGGAGTATATGTCTTGTCTCACTAATTAAAGATGTGATCTGGAGGATTTCTATTTGATATTCCATTGGTTTTTTATGGTCTCAGCGTAGAATCTTTTAGTCTCGTGGAGAGTGATCGGGATATTGTTTTGTATCGGTGTTGTGGTGGCTTTTTTTGCTAGTGAGTCAGCTCTTTCGTTACCTACTATTCCTTGGTGAGCTGGTATCCAAATAAAATCTATGTTAGTCCCTTGGTCTTGAAGGTCTTTAATTATTACTTGTATAGTTTGAACAAGTGGATTTTTGGAGAAATAATCTTCCAGTGCTGACAGGCTAGAGCATGAATCGGAGCAAATGACGACTTTTTGGTTAGTTGGAGCTTGTTGAATTAGTTTTAAGGTCTGTAGTATGGCATAGAGTTCACAGCTAAAGATTGTAAATTGGTTAGGGAGCCTAATAGACATACAATCTTCCGTTTCTGTGGTTATTGCACATCCAGCTTGTCCTTCTATGATTAATCCATCCGTGTAGTAGAAGGTCTTGTTTTCATGATTGCTTTTTAATTCGAGGAAAAGTTGTCTGTAAAGGCAACTGCTAGTACTATCTCTGTCATGTTGTAATAATTCCATATTGATTGAAATTTTTTGTTGTGTCCACGGAGGTAGTGGATGATATGTCCTAGTGTACGTTGAAATTAGTTCTATTCCAAGAGTGGACAAGTAGTCTTGTAGCCTGATTTTTAGTGGTCTTGGTAATCTTGAGTGAGTTTGGTAGATGTTATTTACTGTACTATGAAATAGTGAGAGGTTCATCGGGTTTGAAGGTGAAGCTAAGATCTTGCTGGCGTATGAAATAGCTAACTCTATTCTTCTCAGTTCAAGAGGTTTTTCCTGTGACTCTGCGAGAATGCTGGTGACTGGAGTCGTTCTGAAGACTCCTAAACTGATCCTGAGTGCTGCATTTTGTATCGTATCCAGTTTCTTTAGTAGACTTGGGTTAGCAGAGCTGTAGAAAATAGAGCCATAGTCGATTTTTGATCTAATTAGACCTCTGTAGACTCTAATAAGGCTTTCTTGGTCTGCTCCCCACTCAGTTGAAGATAGAACTATGACTATGTCTTGGTCTTCAATGTGGTTGGTCCATGTGTGCTTGGAGTCGAATGTCATACCTAGTATTTTTAATGTTTTTGTGCGGGTCAGGGGTTGATTGTCAAGTGATAGTACTGTTGGTCCAATCTCCCTGTTACTTCTGGAGAAGACAGTGTAAGTTGTTTTTGTGTTGGAGAATTTAAATCCATTTAATTTGGCCCACTTGTTAACGAAGTCCAGTGCCTCTTGAATTAATTTTTGGGTGGTTTCTACGACTCGTCCGCTGCAGAAGATAGCAAGGTCATCGGCGAATAGTTGAACTTTAACTGGTTTCTTGACCTTCGACAGTACGTTATTGATTGTTATTAGGCCATTCTCAGGTTCGACAGATTCTGATAGTTTATTATTGATTCTAACTTTAAGTACTCTACTGATTAAAAAATTTCTAATGAATGCCATGATATTACCTTTTAGACCTAATTCTATACATGCTTGGATAGCTTTAATAGTTGGTACCTCTTCGTAGGCTTTTTCCAGGTCCATGGATACTAGTATGAGGTGAAGTTTATTAGCGAAGGCTGTACCGATTTCTTCATCAATACCTTCAAGATGGTCTAGTGTAGATCTAAATTTTCTGAATCCACTCTGGTTGAGGGCGATGAGTTGTTCGGATTCTAGTTTCCAACGTAAACGGCGTCCAATTATTTTCTCTAAGATTTTGCAGAGGTTGCAGGTGAGGGAAATTGGCATGTAATTACAAGCTTAAGATATATCTTTATTCGGTTTTGGTATGGGAATAACAAGGGCTTCTTTCCATTGGTCTGGAAATGATTGATTCAGCCAGATGAAGTTATACAGATTGATCAAGTGTTTCATACCCGTCTCTGGTAGATTTTTTATGAAACTATTTGGGATGTCATCAGGACCAGGCGAAGAGTTGTTGCTGAGTGTGAGTATGTGTTTAAGTTCTTCCCTGGTTATTGGACAGTTAATTGGGTCTTCATTTTGGGATGTGGGAATGTCAGTGAGGGGTGCTGTCATGTCAGCGTTCTCGTTGCCTTGGGTGCTGGCTGAGTTTTCCGCAAAGGTTCTTGCGAGAATATTACACTTCTCGATTGTCGTAGTAGCTCTGCTATGGTGATTGTCTTCGATTACTGGGGGGTAGTGGTTAGATGGCTTTTTGGCCATTTGTCTGATTTTTTTCCAAACAACCCCAGTTAGAGTGGAATGTGTAATCGTCGATGTGAAGTTGTGCCAGGTTTGTTTTGCTTTTTGTTTGATGGATCGTCTTGCTTCAACTCTGGATTTTTTGAATTGTATTTTGTCTATTTCACTTTGTAACTTTTTATACTGTCTGAATAACTTTTTATATTTACTAATTCTATCACGGCATTCAGAGTCGAGCCAAGGGATTTTTTTTGTGGCTTTCCTCGTCTCAGGTGTCTGGGGAATGGCTGAATTCGCTGCATTGAGGATTAGTGTTGTGAATTTTGAGAGATTACTATTTATTGAGTTTGGCTTATCAATATTATTTAACTCTAGAAGTTCAGGAAGTCTTTTTTCAATGATCTCTTGGTATAGACTCCAGTTGGCTTTCTCTAGGATCCATTTGGAATGAGATGACAATTCTTCTTGGTAATCGCTCAGGTATTTAGTTATTATTGGGTGGTGGTCGCTGTCATATGTGTTGTCTATCGGTTCCCATGAGAAGTTTAGTAATAGCTCTGAGGAAATTATGGTTAGGTCTATTACACTAGATGTACCATTACTAGAGTTAAAGTGAGTGGGTTGGTCATTATTTAGGATTATCAAATCATCACGGGTATTCAGCCAATCCTCAACTATTTTACCTCTTTGGTCTGTCGATTTTGAGCCCCAAATTTTGTTGTGGCTGTTAAAATCACCTAAGATTATACATGGTTTTGGTAATTGGTTACTAAGGTTAGTTAATTCGTTGAGTTCTAAATTGCAACTGTTAGAAAGATATAAATTACAAATCGTTATTGTGGAAGGGTAGTTTATTTGGACCGCTGTGGCTTCATATCTTGAGTTAATTCGAATTTCTTTGGAGAAGATTGTAGATTTAGTGAAAATGGCTACTCCACCACTAGCATGGCAAGTGTTGTGTCTATTTTTATATGTCGGTGTGGACGGATGTTTAGTTGCTTGTAGGCATATAACACTTGGGTTGAATTTGTTGAGTGCTAGTTGTAGGAATTGCTTCCTCCGATGGAAGCCATTTAAATTCCACTGCAGAATGTCCATTGTTTAAGTTTCAGTTGACTCTAATTTTTTACGGATGCGAGTTAGTCGGTTCTTGATAGTGCTGCCTTCCACAAGAGGGTAGAGTTCCTTTATCATGTTTAGAAGTTCCTGAGTGTTTATTAGATATTGTTCTGCGATTTCATTAATGTTGGATTGACCATAGGTACTTTCAATAAAGTTTTTAAATTCGAGAGAACTAATTGGAAAGTTTTTTTCTTCCATAATCTTATTAATTTGGGCCCAATTAATTTTATTTAAGCTGAATTCTGCTTGTTTAATTTTTTTTGACAGTCGTTTTCCTCCAGTTGATTGGTTGCTCATGATACTGGACCCGGAGTCTGAATCAGAAGTTCTTCATCCCAACTGTTTCCTGGGTTTTGGAGGTCGACTTGGGTCATCGAGCTTGTGCTTGATGCAGGGTGGGGCCGCTTCAAGTTTTGATCCTCAATGTTAATTAAATCACCGAGATTTACAATTAGAGAAGGAGGATTAGATACTGGTATAGACGGAGGTGGCATTTGAGTAGTGGAACTCTCAGTATTGGCAGGAAGTTTTTCTTTAATATCTTTTTCATTAACATTGGGACAGTTCTTAGCTATATGACCTTCGTTTTTGCAAAGAAAGCATGACATAGTATCTGTGTTGATGTAAATCCAGTAGCTAGTTTCTTCGAACGTTATTTGTAATCGATCAGGAATTTTGCTGATGTCATCAGGGGTTACATACAATTGCCTTCTAAAGCTTAATATGTAACTGAACCCTGGCTCGGTAAGGCCGGCTCGGAGAAATGAGACGGGTGAGGTGGGGGTGATGTTGAGTTCTTTTAATTTGTCAACAAGTACGTAATGTGGGATTACTGGGCATACATTTGAGAGGATTATTCTTTTATTTCTAATTATTAATGGTCTTATTGGGACTGTGTGACCACGAACCATTATTACCTTGTGTTTATCCACTAGCTCATTCGCTATTTCTTTGGTGGCGAGATATGCACATATCCGATTGTTAGCAATTCTTGAAATGAACCTTATTTGCGATGGTGGGATAACTCTAGCTAGAGCCTGGGTGTATTCCTTTAGTTGAGAATCATCGGAGATATCAATGACGATGGCTTGTTCCTTTTTTGGAAAGCAATCTGCTTGGGCGATGTTTAAGTAACTTTGTGTACTTTGAGAATTTTCAGGACTTTGGGCTTTTTGTGAATTTTGGAAACCTTGGGTACTTTGTGAGTTGAGAGAACTTTGAATCAGGGAAATCTGTGGGATCTGGGGGTTCGCCATGCTGGCCACTGGTGATTCCAGTCGGAATTTCACACGTAAATGGCAAGACGAGCACTAATAGCTCAAGGCTTCACTGCACTGCAGCACTAACTGTATCTTATCAATTCACGTGAACACTATGTACACTATATACGCTCCGAACACGTCTGTACTCGACGGCAGTCGGGACAAGACTGAAAAAATAATTGTTTATGCGCGGAAGGTTCCGGCAAAAAAATTATTATAAATATTAGTGCAATTTGCAAGTGGTCTAGGCCAGACAGCCAATAATAATTGTAAATATAGTAAATTTACAATTGAAATAATTATATTATTATTATTATTATTATTATTATTATTATTATTATTATATTTATTATATTTATTGTATAATGCGCATTTATTATATAGTACGCAAATGAAAGCTCTTGATGAGTATAACATCAAGATGAGCTTATATCTTTAAAAATGTCAATAATTAAGAAATTACCTTATTTGTTGTAAATTATCGACATTTTTAAAGATATAAGCTCATTCCGACATTACACTCATCAAGACCTTTCATTTGAGTACCCACATCAATTTTTCATATATTTTATATATTTATATATATATTATATATATGTATATATGAAAAATATATCAAAATGCATGTGGGTACTCAAATGAAAGCTCTTGATGAGTGTAACATCGGGATGAGCTTATATCTTCAAAAATATCAATAGTTTACCAGATACAAGGTCATTTCTTCATCATGTATCTAGACACAGAGCATTTTCGAATGCAGTCTAAATTCTTATTATAATAAATTTATTATTAGTGAGAATGATGTGAAACTTTGAAAAGGCCTAACTCCAAGTAAAACCCATTTTATCATATAAATACACTGGCCACAAATTTTTTTTATTCTCTTAATAATATAGATTATTATAATTAATATTATTATTTAATTATTATTATAGTTGTTTTAACTATTGTTATGTAAAGAAATTTTTCTTTACATATTTATTAATTATAAAAAATCGAGTATAATTTTATTTAAATTTTAACGATTGTAAAAGATAATTCGAGTGTGGTCATTAAGTGTCTCGTTCGATCTTTGCAAAAGGCCCAGGGAAATTCCCGTAATTAGTCTGAGGGCCCAGGTATTTTAAAGAGATTAAATAGATAAATGGGAGTTTTGTTATACGTAAGCAAACTCACTTATACTTAAAATAAGAAATACTTAA